AATAAAACACCAACAGGTATTTCCTCTACACTTACTCCCATGCCTCCACCTTTTATTAGAAGAATAGATTGACATTTATGCTGCTTGCTATAAAGCAACCCAAGTAAAATCTTTGAAGGATGAAAGTAAACATTCCTCTTGCACCAAAATATTCTTTCAGTAGAAATCAGTTAAGTGAAAAGGAACAGCTACTGTATCCATGATAGTGTGACTTAAACAGCTGGCTGATAGAAGTGACTCATTTGAAGAGGCCATTTACATTCATCATTGTGATATAGGAGTATGATATCCCCAAATCATCTATTTTTTAAGAACCTGAATGCACTGATCTATGTAACATTTGGTATGCTGACAAATTACAGAAATCTCCTTTCGATAAATTGTCACCAATGAGACCCATCCCTCGAGAATTTTGAAGACTACACAGAGCTGAACATAAGAAACAGCTAAAATGCAAAATGGTTTGAGTTCAGGTTTGTGTTAAAGCTATATGTAGTCTTTAGAGACAGCCATTCGGCTACGCTAGGTACCTGGAAGAAATAGGATGTGTATGGCAGATGACTTCTATGCATTGAGAAATACATGTCATTGATCAGTCTTTTTACTTAAAAAGCTTTACTCTGGGTTCGGTAGATGGACACTCCTGCACTGGAAACAAGAAAGCAACATGCTGTTTGCAATCATTTTAAACTGGAGTTGGTGGCATGAAAATATGCAACTTCAGCTACATTAATTTAGTCTTTGTCTCTGCTTTTTATAGGAATAAAACATGTAAATGGCCTTCAAATAGCATATTGTAACTGAGCAAAGGCTGATGTGATTTGTGTACAACAACATACAGGCAGTATCACAGACAGTGCCAGACTAAGAAAACTCTAAGCCATTCTAAAGGCTACTTAGCACCTTTCTGGTATCTCACTTTTAGGAAGGGCAGTAACCTGAAACTCACAGGGGAGGGAGGGGATTCAAATATCCTCTAATGCTTTTCAACATCTAAAAGATCTCAATACTTTTTTTTTGTTTGAGTGGAGTTGCTAGGTTGTTGTTATTTCTGGGGCTCCCCTATGCCAGCTCGGGAACAATGATCCAGACCAGAACTTCCCAGTCTATTCTGACTCCAGTTCTGCACACACACACTAGTCCTGGTACAGCCCAGGCTGATGGTGTTTGACTGCTGCTTGCTCCAGAACCCAGCTCTGACTGTCTGTGGGGAAGATGCATCCCACAGTTTGCAAATACTGGCCTGTGTCTGACTGCATTTTACTTTCAGCAGCCTACAACATACGTAGGGAGTGACCTAACCTCCCAATCCTATGGAGTGTATAATTTTCACGGGGCCAAGAACTATCCCTCCCTGTGCTATAGCCACACCATCTGTCAGCCCAAACGAACCTCATCTTCCTTATTTCCCTTGCCCTCTGATCACACCTCAAGTTCCCTAACTGAGTTCTCAATTCCTCCCACAGTCCCATCTTTCCATCTCCCCAACACTCCCACTGTTCCACCACTTACCTAATCTCATAGCCCTTAATTTATAAAGCTAAATTAAAAATGCACCAAGTCCTTTGGGCACTGTGGAGCATGCAGCAGAAGAGACAGATGAAACTTCTCCCATGTTTCAGGTAGGGACCAGAGAAAATCCCAACAACTGGCAAGTAAGCTAAAACTGAATGCTTTCAGCCTTATCTGTGTCTCACAAATTGCAGTTTGGCAGTTCTCTTAGCTCAGCCTGTCTTACTTCTGCAATGTCTGATGTGCACATTAGAGATGAACTGAAACAAATCAGCATACGAGACCACACAACTGGCCTTTCATGGTGTGGATAGACTGTACCTACTTGTCATAAAAAACTCTACTTGTTGTCAGTGTTATGTAATGTTATACTCTGGAGCATGGTTTGCCATGATATTCTGCCTCAGGCTATTGTGTATTTAGGTTTTCTTGTAACTGATGTCCTGTTTGCTTCTGTTTTTTAAGGTGATTTTAGATGAGACTGATTCATACTATGCTTTGCTTTTAAGCAAAATATACATATGTTGAATAAAACAATCTGAAGACTTCACTTAGAAACCTGTTTGCTTCTATTAGAGCACCATGTCATGTCAAACCATCGTGCTGGTGGTCTGGTTCAGAAAAATAGAAATAGAGTGTAACAACAGGCAAAAACTTCCTCTGTCCTCCTCAGGACAGAGCTGAGGCTCAAGTCAGGACTCATCTACGAGACACACAAGGACTGGAACATCAGCAGAGGTACCCCAAAACAGTATCGTTTTCCAGCAGTGCACACTATATTTGTGTACATATAGCAGAACAAAAACATCACAGCAACACATGCTAGTACAGGGCAGCAGTCCTTAATGTACACTAGTAACCAGAGCAACAATTCTGTCTGCTGAGAATCTGTCCCTGTGTACAACTGCAGTGAAATGTGAACATGCTTTCAGAGTTATTATTATTAAGCTCAATGTACAGTCTGTTCGTAAGAAGAAATGTTTCTTCCTTGATATGAGTCCTGGTTTGAACAAGATCTATGCAGTTTCCCTCCAGATAGTATGAGAAATGGCAGACTGAGATAATACCCTTTTCATCTAAAGGTGCCATTTATATGGATTTATTGACTCAGTTTTTCTGCAAGAAAATCAGGCAGTACACAAGCACTGTAGGATTACCATTTGTTCAAAGACTTGTTAGAAAACCCTCATGTATTCAGACAAATATTTAATTTGCTGGAGCATCAGTTATCCCGCTAAGTCAACTCAACACAGTATATTCTGCAAATTACAGGCAGATTTGCCTCTTTCATATAAAATTTAACACTATGCAATTCAGCATTTTTCCGATCAAGGAATGTCTAAATATTTTAAAATTGAAAGCATTTGTCCTAATGGATAAATAACAAAGTCCAGGCACAGAATTCTGCTGTCAACCAAGGTCATCAGTAGCACCATTAGAACAAATACCTTGATTACTTCTTCACTGCAATAAGATGCTTCTCTTTGCTGAAGCCTAGTTTGGGATGAGGGCTAACTGTTTGGTTTGGTAGCTATACCTAAACCATTAAGGTGATTTTGAAGCTCACCCACAAAGGAATATTGCTTCACAACAATACACTGGAAACCCCTTTGCTGGGCAAGCCAGCCCAATCTCAGTTCCACACCTCTGAGACAGTATGAGAGAAAACAGGTAATCTGGGCACTGGGACACCCAGCACGGGTACAGCAGACACAACAGTTCCAGAACAGCTCCTTCCCATCTCTGCCATCCAAGAGTAGAGGCAAGCTACACTCAGACTGATTGGTATGAGGTGATCCCTTCTGAATAAGGCATAGATATTTGGACAGCGTTCAGTGGGCTACAGGGCACAGGAGGGCTCCCTAAACCTGCCTGATACAAGGAGGCTTGTATATCATAGGCGAGTCAAAAATGTCTCTGAAACAGAAACCATAAAAACTGGAACACAGTAAATTTGGTGTTTGTGCAATGCTGTATTGGTCAATAGGGGCAGAAGTCCAGAAGTATATACTTTATCAGAAAGATTTGAACCAATATTTTTAAGAATTCAGATAAATTTATATAATATTCACTTCATTCTGAAAACACTAATGATGAAAGTAGATTTGCTTGCTACTTTTACCCATTTAAATTACTGTGCACAAGAAGAGGACATACCTCCTTGTTCTGGTCTGGTGGTGGAAGTCTATTTGTTACCTGCTCTTTTGCTGGTATGAATGTTCACAGTGTCATAGCTCAGCATCTGCCCTAATCAGTCATGAATTTCCAAGGATTTTTTGTCTTGTTTTATACTTTTCATGTCTTTGTTTATGAAAAAACACACAGCTTTCATTTGAAACTATTCCTCTCTTGTGATTACAAAGAAGGCACTGCTGAAGTAAGATTTACGCAGAAAATCCATGATTCTACTGCTCAAACTGTCTCCATTCATAATAAACACAGCCATTACTCACCTTCAAGCCTAACTGATGCAATTACGGTTTGTTCTATATCTATCACTGATTTGAGGTCAGAAACAAACATTCTAGAAAAAAAATCAAATATATAGAGCAGTCTTCATTCACTGTAATGAATATAATAAGCAGCACAACACTTTCAACACATTACTGATATAATGACTATAATCATAAGGATGAACATTGGGGCTACATTGCAACTGAACTATGAAGCCAGAGGCCAAACATATTGGACTTGAGACTGCTCTGTATTAACATATAAATACTATAACCAGATATTAATTGATGAAGCAATGAATACAGCTTAAATTAACAGGATGAAGGCTTGTTTTTTTAAAATAAACACCCGTGCACTGAATCAGAAACACTTCCAGCTATTCAGATTCATTAACTTAACTTGAATTAACATTTAAGCACATGTAAACCTACAGACAACCTGAGAAATTAACATTTCTTTAGACTTACTTATTCACAGAAGTACAAGAAACTGTAGGTGAGGCAGAATAACTACAGACCTCCTGCCTATACGCACCTGCTACTACACATGTTCCCATTCAAGTTTGCTCACTCAACACAATCCCATTTTATACAAGCAGTTGGGTAGCAATTGCAGTGCCTCTCCACCTTCAAAAGCTGCCCTACTGAAACAACCTACCCCAAAAGGGCCATTATACTGAGCCAGTTGATAATCAAAGCAGTGAAATGGTGCAGCTGGGAGAATCGGTCTAAACAGTTATTTCCTCTGATGAGAAAAGACAGTGAGGGCCTATTAGCACTCATTTCATTAGGGGTTCACATTACACCTTAACAGACTTTTGCATGAGTGTTGGTGTGTAAGACTTTAAGCTGCTGGAGCCCACGCTGAGAAAAGCATCCAAGTGTGATTCAGAGTAAGTGCGTTAAGAAACAGAGTACTTCCTCTGCTATTAGCATACAGCTGTGAGAGTCACCTCAGGACTTCTTCAGCTCTAAGTGTATTTAATACTTTTTCTCTTTTTATAATGCTTTATTGTATGGTGGTAAGTATTCTCGATGGCTAATATTGCAGGCAAGGAAGTTCCTCTTCAGCAGTCACTGAAGAGGATGAGACTTGTACTCACTGTCTTGACAAGTCAAATTCTGCTACTGCTTCACCATATCTATGCCAGGAACAACTTTCTCCTTCAGCTACAGAGGGAGCTGACAGGGACTTCTAAAACTTTGCACGCTAAATGTTTTTACCTTATTGTTAGTTTTGTCAAGGTAAGTGGTCAAGCAAAATTCTATAGTCAGTCTATAATCAAGAAGGAGCAGGATTTTTTGAAAAAAACTCTGTTTATCTCCACCTTGGTGAAAGACAGTGACTTTCTATACAACCTTGTAGACCTTGACCTTTCCAAATTTGAAACAAAATAGTGAAAAAGTTACAAAGTTGCATTTTTAGGTAATGCCTATATGATGGAAAGGGTCAGGCAGAGGTATCTCTGTCCCTTCCAGTTATGACATCACCTCTGAGATCATAGAGAAAATTTGGTTCCAGGATTGCCCAGATGCTGGGAGGCCTAGAGCTATCAGCAGATAAGAAACATTAACTGTGAAATCAAGAGTCTGCAGCTAATTAGTACAGACTTCATCTATATCTTTGTCACTGTCTTATTTCACAAAGCCTACATGCTACTCCTGTCTTCAGCCTTTAAGAACAAAGCACGTCTTCACAAAACACTTGTCTCTCAAAATGAGGCTGAACTTCTTCATTTTGGCAAAGCATCAGACCAATACTTGTAGCCTTTTATTACCTGCCTCTTCATTGCAGTCACTTACGTGATACCTGTGAAATGATTTGCCTTTAGTAATCTCAAAATTGTACAGCATGCACTTGGAAATGTGCTCTACATCAAGGACTCATAATTTAAAGTTCTTAAGTGGTATATGGACAGTAAATAATTTTTTGTTTTCAGATTTCTCTGAGTGAAAGTAATTTAGGTAGACTTGAGAATTCAAAACTTCTGGTAAAACAAATCAGGAGGCAGGACCAAACATGAGGCATGCAGTAAACTTATCTTCATATATAAGAAAGCAATTAATGGGTTTGCATATACAATTTAATGTACAGAAATCAAACCAAACACTGTACTACTGCCATAATAAAGTGTACTGCATTATATTTTTGCGTTTATGTAATAGATCATCTATTTAATTGAAAAGGCATGTTATATAACACAAGGGTTGTTCTTTAACATATAAAGATGCTCCTGAACTCAAAAGAAAGCGTTCTTATGTAGACTCTGCTACTATATTTACACACTTGCAGCCGTGTATGAGGTGAGGAGCCTTAGTTCTTGATTTTGTGACTGCACTGCTTTTCAATTCCTTCTGGGTCAAGAATGTGTAATCAGTAGCTGTGATCATGTATCCCACAAAAACTATCACAGGCACCACTAATGACCTTCCTATCCCCCATTTGAGACTCCAGCTAGCACAGCTCTAGTACAATCTGAGTAACAAAAAGTATTTGCATAGGGTTATGAAAGTCTAATGCTTAAACAGCTTTCATGGGTATTAATCATCCAGTATTTCTGAGATATCATAGGCAAAGTAAATCAACATGTGATTTAATTTATGGTGATGAGTCATGTAAATTGCATAAAGTTGGGGGGGTGCAAAGAAGAAAATTTCAGTAGGCCTGGCACAAGCTTTTGATTGCCCAAACAGATTTGGTATATGTTAATAAATGATTAACATTTATCTTTGTTAGTCATTGTTATTGAGCGGGGGATGGGAGGGAAGTGTTGGGGGTTTTTTGGTGGTGATGGTTAGTTGTATTTTAATTCACAAGAGAAAACTGTTCAGCCTAGGAAAAGACTGGTGTTTTAAGAAAAAGGTATTCCCTGACCAGGCTGGTCCTGGCATTTACCATTCAAGAATCAGAGACTACCACATAGATAGTCTTGGGACAGAGCCAGAGGTACTCCCATTTTAAACAGATATCCATGAGCCCAGCCTGCTTTTTCTGAAAGACACAAGTGTCTGTCTCAGTATCAAAATCGTGAAAGCAGGTGCTACTTAAAAGCACAAAACGAAGGAGAATACCACCTGCATCATGCAATGACCTGAACATTCAGTTCCGGGGGGAGGAGAGAATAGCAAAGAGGGGCAAAGTGTCCATCAGCAGACATCAAAGCAGTCTTAAAATAGTTTATTATAAGCAGAATCAACTAAAATTCTCTAGAATCAACTCTCCTCTCAAGTTTGTTTAAGCTTATGGGGACACCATGCTGCTCCCTGTGACATCTATTACAGCAGGCAGTCACAAACAGCATCTGGCTACAAGCTGGTCTGTTGGTCATTTGATTGCTATTGTGTGCCTCCTTGCCAGCCATGCCACAGTGTTTTCAACCCTACGCGTCAAGTGCAGTCTCTCAGCTATTGCCCTTCTCCTCTCTACTGATGGCTATTGTTACTCAAATGATAGCTGAACAGACAAATAATTCACTCCATTTCCTAAGTACTATTTGACACTGCTTCCCTGTTTAATGCCATGTGTAGCAAATGCAAACTTCACAGGATGAGGTCTAAACAAAAAGAATCAATAATCCATGTATACAACTGGCGCAAATCTGCCATTTCTATAAATGGTGTGCAGGTGTGTAAGTATATGCCAGTGTGTCATTACTACTTGTGCAAAAAACGCAGGTGTGTGCACAGCAGTAACTGAGAAACTTCATATGGGCTAATACACTTTGGAGTGTGCACAAGTAAACATTTAAAATGAACTTAGATAAATACAATTAGTCAGTAAGACACCCATATTAGTTTATTTATGAAATCAAAGAAGATCCCATTGATTAAAATCAGAGTAGATGAAGCAGAAAAAAGTGCACCGAGGATGTCAAATTTGGAAGCATGTGTGTATTTGTATACAAAGTGACAGTTGCATATTTCAATAGTAAAAGGCTTTTACTAACGAGCAATTGTTCTGTTCTGCTAACTGCATTTAGCATGGGCTTTTTTTTTTTGACTAAGCAAGCTAAGTTGAAACTGAAATCATATACAAGTGTATACAACTGAGAGCATACACAAGCTGATTTGTGGGTGTAATAACAAAGCAAACATTGTTTCCACCACTGATTCATGTAGCCTTATTATGGATGATCTGACATGCAATTTGATATCTCTACCATATTGTTATTTCCCATGTATTATTACAAACTAGGTATGTCATAAATTCTGTTACAACATTAGTAGCTATGAAAACCTAAATTTTAAATTAAAAGCTAGAAGAAATGGGAATGACATTGGAAACAAAATAAAATTTTCATAGGGCAGTGACTCTCTACCAACAGAAAAAAGATTGTATTTATCTTTTTTTTTTTCTAGAATTTCTACAGATAGGTAGTAATTAGTTACAAAATCTATTGAAATGAAATCATGCATACATGGAATCAGATAGTGCACACATAAGTTACTAAATATGCTTTTTAAAAATTAATTTACCAAGTGGAAAAACATGATGATCTCAGAGTTTCAATTCATCTTTTTCTTCCCAGATCTCATATAATATTTATTTAAACTGGTTGTAAGTTAGATTTCTACCACATCTGACTATTTGTTGTGTAGTGTCACTAGGACCTGACATGTCACTATGACTTCACGTTGTAAAGACTTTTTTCTTTTATATTAAAATACCTTCTTTGCTGGCTGACAAAAAACTATGCCAGATGCACTTAGCAGGCTCACATATTTCCAAAGGCAATCATATAAATGACACAAGGGAATCACAGAATCATAGAACGGTTTGGGTTGGAAGGGACCTTATAGATCACCTCGTTCCAACCCCCCTGCCACAGGCAGGGGCCCCTTTCACTAGACCAGGCTGCTCAAAGCCACATCCAAACCGGCCCTGACCACTTCCAGGGAGAGGGCGCAACCTGTGCCAGGGCCTCACCACCCCATAATGAAGAATTTCTTCCTTATATGTAATCTAAATCTCCCCTTTTTCAGTTTAAAGCCATTACCCCTTGTTCTATCACTCCATGCTCTTGTAAAAAGTCCCTCTCGGGCTTTCTCGCAGGCCCCTTCAGGTAATGACAGACTGCTCTAAGGTCTCCCCAGAGCCTTCTGCTCTCCAGGCTGAACAGCCCCAACTCTCTCAGACTTTCCTCAGAGCAGAGATGTTCCAGCCCTCCGATTGTTTTTGTGGCCTCCTCTGGACCTGCTCCAGCAGGTCCATGTCTGTCCTGTGCTGAGGGCTCCAGAGCTGAAACACTTGCTCTCCCAGTTCTGCTAACAAGAAGACTTTATATTATTTTATTCAGGAGCAACAGCTTCCAGGTGGCTTGATGGGAATTAGTTCTAACCTCTGCCGACTCCGAAAGAGACAGAAAGAGAAAACCTCAAAGAAATACGTGAAAATTTTGCCCTGTAGCTTTGGCCTCTATATTTAGGTATTCTCAGTTTGTGTTAGCTAAAAATATATTGCACTTGTAAGGGTTAAATGACAACTAAGCCAATAATATCCTTTCAAACTTAAAGCCTACAAAATACAGATATTTAAGACAATCAAGAACAAATAACAATGTTACTTAGAGTGAAATATCCACAATCTAAATTCCGTATGATAACACAAGTACAGTGAAAATCAATGCTCTCTCTGTTAATGAGACAGGGTAATCAAAATGGAACTAATTATTTCTCAGATATGCTGGTTTTTAAATATCATTTTTTGACCTAAGTGCAGCTCCTTACCAGAATCTGAGTAGTGAAAATACTGACAGTCCAAATGAACGAGAAAGATTCAAAACCAGCTCAATTGTTATCCGAAAAGCAATATATGAAGAGGTATTGAATATTGTACTGGACACTTTCAGTTTGCTTTGCTTAAGGAAAACTAGAGTACGAGGCTGTGTTTGTCTGGCTTACCGACCAGAATACTATTTAATTGGTACCGTGGGCAGAAGCATCTTTTGCATACTTCCCTGCTTCTGTCCCCTGCTAAATGAACAGGATTTCTTATTTAGCCACCAAAACATGCTGCTTGTAAATTTTCACCTTTGAAGGGTCTGTGAAGCTTAGGGGAGAGATAGAACAAGATGTAGGGGACCATTTCTTAGTTAATGTCAGATCCTGAAGCTAGCAAAGTTGGCAAGGAGGATATTTCAGGGAACAGTATTTTCCAGATTGTAACAGCCAAGAGACAGCTCAGGAAACAGAATTTTCTGGGATAGTTGGAGCTATGTGACAGTTTTGTATTTTGTTTTCTCAAA